AGTTTTTGAGATTAGATTTGAAGTAATCATTTTACGTGATCATAAACAGCAATTAGACCAACATGAAATGGCGCTCATTAATTTTAGTCTGGGACTAGATTTAAGCCTCGTCTGTGAAACCGGGTGTGAGTGCGCTTTTAAAGTACTGATTTGTTCCTTGTCTGGCTAATGAAATTCCTCATTTCGGAGCATATGGCCTGAAGACGTAAGACATTTGCTACATTTGATGATTAACTGTGGATTACTGTTAATTAATGTGGAGAATTTAAGGCGTTTAAGATAAAGTAATTCAGCGCTATATGCTTAATAAATTGAATAATCTAATTGTTGCACGGTACTCTCTATCATCGCACAAAATGACGAGGTCACCCGCCAGTCATCTGCATTTCTAGATTTTCACTGTGTACTCTAAAGAGCTACATTTTATTATCTCTCCATCTAAACATTACTGTGTTTGATTTAAAACCAGATTGATTTAAAAGCCAGACTTTACTGTCAGACCTGCTTTTTTTCTGGTATTTAATATATATATAAAAGTGCAGTACAGCCTGTGATCATTAATAGTGTGCTTGATGGAGGGGCTGAGGGGATGAGATAAGGCTCAGTTGACGGAGTTGTTGAAATGGGCGACTGAAGCCTCTGCTATTGGTCATGGTCTACTCCTCAAAGCAGGGGTCGCCTTTTATCAGGTAAGTGCAATTCGAAGCAGTGGTTCAAAGAGAAAGGACAGAGTTTTTGAGGTTAACCGGACTGAGGTTATTCCTAGAGCTATCAATGAATGTTTCGTTACGTTACGAGTGTTTGGTCAACCATTTTGTGTGTAGAAGATCATAGTATAGAAGATCAGCCGCCTTGCAGAACTTTCCTGTGAAGTTCTAATATAAAGTGCCCTATAGTCAATTATTGTATCCCTTAAAGGGATACTCCACTTTTTTTGGAAATAGGCTCATTTTACCAATCCCTCAGAGTTAAACAGTTGGGTTTTACCGTTTTCGAATACATTCAGCCGATTTTCTGATATTTAGAAGAATATCAGTAACCAGATAGTTTCTGGTCTCATTAACTTCCATGGTAGGAAAAAAATATATATACTATGGAAGTCAATGGGACCAGAAACTGTCTGGTTACTGATATTCTTCCAAATATCAGAAAATTGTCTGAATGGGTTAGAAAACGGTAAAACCCAATGGTTTAACTCTGGGGGAGTTGTAAAATGAGCCTTTTCTTTCAAAAAAAAAAAAAAGTGGAGTATCTCTTTAACTCTTTCCACGCCGTTGACGGAAATTTCCATCATTTATGACACAACACTTCCCTGCCATTGACGGAAATTTCCGTTAATCATTGTTAAACAGTAGGGAGGTATTGAGCATCTTCTCCGCATCTCCATGAAAAATAAGCGCATTGCTTAAAACAACATGATCATCAAACATTAAACAGCATATTAATCAAAACTGTCTAAACAGTAATGTGGACCCAGGGGGAGCTATAGGACCGTGAAGTTCTGGGAGTGTTGATCTACTGTATGTGTTGATTATCTTTCTGAATCCAATCAAGCGATGACTTCTCCAAGTCCTTGAGAAAAGCGTGATTTGCTCAGCTTTTTGTTGAAAAATGTGCTTTTTAATGAAAATTTGCTTACTCACATTCAAGTGTTGATAAAAAGAATTCATGAAGCTAGAATAAAATGGTACTTTACTTGAAGGAGTGTTCATAAGACTGACATGACACCTTCATAATCATGACATGACACATGTTTTATGCTTGTTTGTTACAACTATCATTAAGTGTCATTTGCTCAGTTATTACATTTTTAATGCAAATATGTCTTTATGACACCTTGACGTAAACCAATAGATAATAACCTGACGGCTTCTCATGACGGCTTGACATAACTAAGACAACACAACCTGTCATAAACATGACAGCAGATTAATTATAAAACTTAAGAAACCACCTAGCTTTATTGGTTAACATTACATTAAACTGTCAGGTGGTTGGTTTTGACATTGACTGCCATGAAGTCATTATAACATTTTGATGACAAATTCAATTAGTACCACTGTAGTTGAGCTCACGAAAAATATTCATGACAGTTATAATGGCCTCATGACAGCCAATGTCAAAGCCAACCACATGACAGTTTAACTTCATTTTATGTCAAGGTTATGATGTATCGGTTTATGTCAAGATGTCATAACAAAGACATCTTAAACAATATTTGTCATATTTGCATTCAAAATGTCATTATTGAGCGAAAAACATTTAATGACACTTGTCATAAACATGCATAAACCCTACTTCATATTCATAACATATGTCATGTCATGGTTATGAAGGTCTCATGTCAGTCTTATGCTAATATGTTATATAGATATTACTATAATCACAGTAAACAATTACTCTGCCAAGTGATAGGCCTTATCAACTTTATTAATTATTTAGCTGTAGACTGTTTAACATGCTAATTAACTCATTAATACACTGGGGGAAAAACATTGTGTAGGATTTGCTTTGAAACTATTTTCACTCAGAATGTGTTAGAAAATACATAAATACACAGTAATTACAAAGAAACAGCAACACAATGAATTAAACATGAAATGTTAAAGTCGAAACACCGAAATTGTGTTTTCTTGTCAAATGTTGTTCTCCAATAATCTTAGTTGTATTTACAACTTTGAAAAATATGTTCACAGTGTATCAATTAATAAGACAAATAATATAGAATTCATTGGATGTGCAGTCACAGGTGTGTGTGTGTATACATAGCTGCTTCACTTTTGGCTTATCAAATCATTTCATCACCAGGATTAATAATGTTTGAGAAACATAAATGATGTGAACTTTTTAGCTGTTTAATTTACAACGGATGAAATCATAATCTCCCTATTTTGATATTTCAACGGATTCTAAACTCTCTCTCTTTTTTCTATCTCACTCTTTTTCACGTCTCGTCTTCACGTGTCCTCCGATTTTGCGGCATTGCAGCTGAATGGCTCTTTGCTGTGGGCAGAGCTCTAAGCGGTGGATTCTCTCTGCTTTAGGTAGATATCAGATAGAAGCAACTCATAGAGAGTGGTATGTAATCCAGAGGCTTTACCAAGTCTTGTGTCACTGCACCGATTCGAGGTGTGAAGCAGCGCATGTATGAACCGAAACACAGCACAACTGCGGCTTTTGAAGCCATGGCTTCTCTGAAAGAGCGGGGGTGTTTTCCACAGGGATTTTAGCATCGGAATCTGGTTGCGGATCAGAGAAAAGGCTGATGTTTTTGAATATTAATGGACAGAGGAGAAATGTATATGATGAGTATGAGATTTAGTGTGCATAAATTGATGCACAGAAGATGATTTTTAGATGTAAAGTCTCAGAGGTCATAATGAAGAAGCAGAAGTCATGTGGAAATAGGATTTGGTTTGCAGCACAGATTGACAACCTTTGTACAAATGAGCATTTATATAACAGAAATTATTCCTGCAAGTACTGAACATTGGATATCTTTATTTTGTTTTACTGTTTTACAGTTATTTTAATGTAAACATTTATTCTATTTCATTTTCTTATATTACCATGTTTTATTTTATATATATATATATTATATATATATTTTTTTTTTTTTTTTTTTTTTTTTTTTTTTGGTTTCCACGAAGTTGGGCATTAAAGGGATAGTTCACTTTGAAATTAATTTTTGATATGTTTTAGCTTACCTCAGGGGCATCTAAGATGTGGGTGTCTTTGTTTCCGCAGTAGTTTCAATTTTGATATTTTTAGGTCAACCCGTTCTTGTTTGTCAGTCATAATGCAGGGTATGGTCACCACCTCAAAGAGCATGCACAGAGAAGTCAAAATTAAACTTGATTTAATGACTCGTAAATGTAAGTACACATTGATGGCCTAAGACATGAAACGAGCGGTTTGTGTGAGAAAACGAACAGTATTTATATCGTTTTTACCGATTTACGATATAGGTAAACGATATAAATACCGTTCATTTTCTTACACAAACCACTTGTATCGTGTCTTAGGCCATCAATGTGTACTTACATTTACGAGTCATTAAATCATGTTTAATTTGGACTTTGGACTCTGTGCATGCTCTTTGAGGTGGTGACCATAGATCTCCATTATATGACTGACAGACAGGTTTGACCTAAAAATATCAAAATTGAAACTACTACATGAAACAAAGGCACCTACATCTTAGATGCCCTTGAGGTAAGCTAAAATATACCAAAAATGTATTTCAAAGTGAACTATTCCTTTAAATATTGGTCTGATTTTTGCATTTAATTAGTGTGGATAAAAACATTGGACAGGCTAAATGAAAGAGAAGCAAAGTTTTACTGTCCATAAAGAAATAAATCAATTAAATAAATCTGTCACAATGACAGCATGCTAATGTTCATGTAATGTTCATTAAATGGATACTCCACCCAAAAATGAAAATTTAGTCATCATTTACTTGCCCTCAAGTAGTTTCTTTCTTCTGATGAACACAAAAGAAGATATTTTGAAGAACGATTGGAACTTTGGCACCATTGACTTCCATAGTATATATTTTTTTCTACTATAGAAGTCAATGGTGTCAAAATATCGTTCTTCAAAATATCTTGCTTTGTGTTCATCAGAAGAAAGAAACTCATACAGGTGAGGGTGAGTAAATGATGACAGAATTTTCATTTTTTTGGGTGAAGTATCCCTTTAACAGTTTTTTTTTTTTTTTTTTTTTTTTTTTTTGCACCCCAACATGAAGTTTGTCCATGAAAATTCATGAAAAAAAACCATTAACAGTTGTTCCTTTAAATTAACAACCAAACAACACATTTTCATACTGAGCATTCATCTAGTGATAAATGTGATAGCATTAAAAATCTTTATATGATACTTAAGATATTGGAAGGCTAAAACAGAGACTTTAATGGGTATCCCAAGGTGCCAAAACAGTCTTGTTGTACTCCAGCCATATACTGTATATTTATACTGCTGTGTCTTATTCACAGGGTGAAAGCAAAGAAAGGGGTGAACCTCCTCAGCACCAAGTCGAAGAGTAACCAGTGGAGGGTTGAATGGGATGTGCAGTCCGGAGCCAAACACTCGATTGCAACCGTGGAAGCCAGCAAGATCAAAGGAGTCACTGTGTAAGTCAGCTTCCCCGCATTTGTACACTGATCTAGGAACAGCTTCTCCAGTGGGGAAACTAAGCAGTGCGTAGTGCATAGTAATTGGTGCATTCAAATTAGCAACAAAAAAAGACAACCTAAACTTTCATGTTTGAATCATCACACACACCCAACATCTGCTAGTTAATCCAAATAACATTCGACTAAAACAGAACGCCGCCTGTTCAGTTAAGACCTTTGTTTAAGGGTGTTACTCTTTAATTGGAGAGGCTTATACTTAATGAAACGTTTGTAGTCATATTAATGAGTACTTCCTGTGTATTCATTCATTGAAATTATTATTGCAGGGCTTTACGACAAAACCAGATCTTTAAAGACGGTCTGTAGTCCAAAATATAGACGTAAACAGTCCAATTGAATATCCAATTGAAACCATCATTTGGAATCAGTCTTAAAGGAATCAAATATATAACAAAAATGAAACAAATGTGAAGTGTTTACAGTACTTCTCAGATGCCTTTTAGCATCCTGATTGTTTTGTATGCACTCCAAATAGAAATAGCAGACAATATATTTTCAGTTTAGATTTCTTTAGGAATCTACACAACTCTAGAAGGTTTTTATCTTCGTCACCGTCATGATCATTGGGTGATTCATGTAGCCAGTAGAGTCAGGGTTGATTTACCTTTTGTCAAGGAGATCAAGTCGAGGAAATTGAGTGTCGACACAGAGATTATCAGACAGGTCATCTGAATTCAACATCATGCCATTTGGTTCATGTTTCTAAGCCTCTTAGCATCCTTATTCTCCCCACTGTATTAAGTGGACACTGGCAAAAAAACAAAACAAAAAAAAATTCTGTCTGACATGTGACGAGATGATGTCACTCACCTGCAACTCTGCTACTGGGAAACCTGTATTTGCGTTTATTCTGACATCTGCAAGCAGGTTTCATCAGTTTAGAGCTTAAGGCTATAGTTAAAAAAAAAGAAAAAAAAAACAGCCAATTAAGACCATTCAGCCCACGTCTTAGCCCAATACAATACTACATTAGAGATATGGTTTTACCAGGCATATTGTTTTTACTGATGCATCTGTTTTTTTTATTACACTCATTATCATTCTCTGTAAGACTACAATCTCAGATGGTAAATACAAAATGTCTGTCACTTGATCCAGTATCCATTGCCTTTAAACTCTGAAAAAGCAATGTTATTCAGCATACTAAAGCTATTTCAAGCCATACTGTATATTTAAGCTCAATAACAGAATATGAAATTCAATTCTAATGGTTTAACAGTGATATGTGGATTGTTACAAGTATATGCTAGCACTAACTTCCATATGAACCAGCTCTTTAGTACAAGAACACATGATGGTGTGTAAATGTTTGGGCAGGGTAAGATTTTTTGAAATGTTTTTTTAAAAAGTATTGTATGCTT